ATACATTAAAAAATGATATCTCAAAAAAATTTTAAGAAGTGGTATCTCAAGTTGTTGTCTTTTTAATATTCTAAAGAGTATCTTTCAGCTCATCTCAGGGAAACATATGGAACAAAATTTCATTTTGTCTTAAATTATAGAATAATGTTCGTTTCCTCGGAACTGGATTTTTTCATAAAAATTAAAACAATTTTTTTCTTTTTGATTAAATGAAATATTGCTAACTGAAGACAGTTTGATATGGTGAGAGAGATGTCAGACTGGTAAAAGGTATGTGGCCCGATTTAAGACAAACATTAAAATCTTTTAAAGAACAATAAAACATATCTTACACCCTTAAAAAAAGTTGCTTGTGTACTCAGATGTCTATATCAAAAGGAAACATGTTCAGACTTAGCTGTGGCAATCAGCATGATAGCAATAAGAATAAATGTCACTGGGGCTGGTGAGATAGCTCAGCAATCTAAGAATCTGCCTGGAAAGCACAGGTACCCGGGTTCCATCCCCAGTACCACATGCCGTGCCAGTCCAGGGCCATGCCAGCCACTGAGAGCAGGTGTGGTGGCACACACCTGTGATCCCAGTGCTGGGAAGCCTGAGACAGTAGGATCGCTATGAGTCTAAGCTGCATGGTGAGCCCATGTACCAAATAAATAAATTTTTTTTATAAAAGAATAAATGTTACCAGTAGCACAAGTTGAATGTCTGAAATGCTTGGCATCAGAACTATTTTAGATTTTTTTTATTTTTAAATATTTCTATATAAATAATGTTATATCTTCAGGTGAGACCCACATCTTAATATGAAATTCTCTTATGTTTCATATACATATACATATAGCCTGAGGTGATTTTATACTGTATTTTTGGAGTTGCCTTTTGGCTGCAGTCTGTCACATAAGGCCATGTTTAAAGTTTTCTGCCTGGTGTTATGTCAGAACTCAGAAAGTTCCAGATTTTTGAGCATTTTAGCTTTCAGATTGTTAGAGTGAAGGTCTTCAATCTGTATTATCTTAATAGTAGTTTTTCCTCTGTGGTGGTTTCAGATTGAGAAACTGGATGCCCGAGGGATCCAGCTTGCTGCTCTCTTTATGAGTGGAGTCGACACAGCTCTGTTTGCTAATGATGCCTGTGGCCAACCTGTCCCTTGGGAACACTGCTGCCCCTGGATATACTTCGATGGCAAGTTGTTCCAGAGCAAGCTTATTAAAGCAGGCCGAGAGCGAGTATCCCTGGTTGAGCTCTGTGATGGCCAGGTATGAGCACTTTGTGCAACTAGTAAGGGCCATCTCTGATGTGCTGTGGGGGTGAATGAGTTGGCAGAGAGGGAAAAAGAGCTAGAACACTGGGAAGGGGAGAACAGCACTCAGGAGGCAAAGACAAGAGGATCGCTGCGAGTTCAAGACCAGCCTGGGCTGCAAAGTGAGTTCAAGGCCTGCCTGAACTACATAGTGAGACTTTGTCTCAAGAAGACCAAATAAAAAAGAAGAATATGACCTTACCCTAACTTAACATGATCACTCAAGGCCATATCTGATATATACTTGCTATATTTTTTTATGAGCTGGAAGTATTTCTTCCCATGAAATACTCTGATATATTATATGCCTTTTCTCCAACTTTGGGATTTCATTTCCCTTATTTATAAAAAACATAAGACATTTTTGCAAGTGATGATATTTCTTTTTTTATATATTTAGTACAGGGTCTCCAGGGTCTCATTACACAGATCAGATTTGCAATGATCCTCTTGTTTTCAGCCTCCCAAGTGCTGGGATTACAGGTGTGCACCAGCACGCCCAGTCTCAGCGAGCAATAAAGGCAGAGCCGGCACTGCATGCCAGGGATCAAACCCCAGGCACTGAGCCTGCCTAAGCATGTGCTTTAGTCTGCTGAGCTATCTGGCCCACCCTGATGATGATATTTCTTACAAAAGAATCTATGTTTAGCTAAATGCAGTGGTACATGCTTGCAATTCCAGCTACTTGGGAGACTGAGGGAAAAGGACTGCAAGTTGAAACCCAGCCTGGGCAATTCGTTGAGACTTGTAGCAAATAGAATTTACAAAGAGCTTGGGATGTAGCTCAGTGGTAAAATGCTTGTACCAGTCACTAGATTCATGCTCCAATATTGGGGGGATATATATATATCATATACAAATATCATATATGATATATGATATTTGTATATATTTATTTATACAGCAGTAAAGTCTTCAACAGAAAAAAGAAAAGAGATAAAAGAGGCTAGCCAGGAATGGGAGGATGCATACCTATACTCCCAGCACTCAGGAATCTGGGCAGGCAGAAGAATCACAAGTTGGAAGCCAGCCTGGGGTGCATAGTGAGTTCAAGACCAGCCTGGGGAAAACAAAAAAAAAAGACTATCCTGAATTATATAGCAAGACCCTGTCTCCCAAAAACAAAAATAAACAAACAAAAGAAATGGAAGAGAGTAGTAAAGCAGATGACAGTAGAAGCAAAGGCACTGGGTATAGTGATGTACACCTATAATCCCAGCACTCAGGAGGCTGAGACAAGAGGATCACTGTTAGTTCTAGGTCAGCCTGAGCTACATAGTGAGTTCAAGTCCAGCCTGGCCTGCATAGTCAGATACTGTCTCAAAAAAAAAATTAGAAGCAGAATTTTTGTAAGAAAACCTCAGAAAAGTTGAGATAAAACAAAGGTTAAAAGTAATCTTTTTCCCATTTGAGGGAGAATGAGCTAAGGGACCAGAGCACAGGTTAGCAAACTACTCAGTCTGTTGCTTCTTTTATGGAATACAACCCACCCCATTTTTATAAAAATGTTATTGGAACTGGGGTCATATTTATTCATTTGTATATTATCTGTGATTGTCTTCATGCTATAGTGGCAGAGTGAGGTAGTTGTGCCAGAGATACTGTGATCCACAAAGCCTGAAGTGCTTATTTTCCTTCTCTTTCCAGAAGAGGTTTGTAAATCTCTGGATCAAACATTACACAGTTGTCCTGGGTAGAGCTCAGTCTCCAGTCCTCGAAATGAGAGAGAAGGCTAAATTTGATTCTGCTGCCTGTCCTTGGCTGAGCATGTAGCTCCGTGGTAGAGTGCTCATCTAAATAAAGAAAAATATCACACACAAAAATTTATGTAGCTTAAAGGTACAAGTCCCTGGATGTGATCACCAGCACTGCAAGCAGACCTAGTCCATTGCTGTCTATGTAATAGGCCATCAGTGAATTCCTACTATTGTATTTGTTGTCATTGGGCTATCTAATATGGTTCACAGGCCCTGGATCAGAACTAATATGGCAGTAGTGCAGTTTCATGGGAAGAGTGGGAGCTTTCCTGTCACAACAGGCTTCCTGAGCCTGTAACCTGGAGTCAGTTAACTCCAGGCCTCAATTTCTTTAGGAGGAATACAACTCTGAGGCTTTACCAAGTATATTCAGTACTCTTCTTAAAACATGGGAGAAAGGCCAGCCAGACAACTCAATGGACTGAAGTGCCTGCTTAGGCAGAACGCAGTGGCTGGGATTTGATCCCCACTGTGCTGTGCTGACCCCACCCCCAAAGCAAGCTGAGACAGGAATTGAGACTGTGCGTGGTGGCACACACCTGTAATCCCAAGGTTTGGGAAGTGGAAAACAGGATGATTACTATGAGTCCAATCTGTATAGTGAGACCCTGTAGACCCTATATTAAATACATTTTAAAAAAAACATGGGAGAAGTTCAAAAACAATAGTTGTTGTTATTCTCTTTTTCACTTAAAGGCTGACTTGGCAACCAAAGTGGAAAAGATGAGGCAGAGTATCCTTGAAGGAGTCAACATGAATCATCCACCACCTTCAGCTCTACTTCCATCACCTGCTTTTATACCCCCCATGGTGCCCTCTCTCTACCCTGTTTCACTTTATTCCCGAGCTATGGGCTCAATGCCACCTCACCCTCAAGGAAGGAGCCGGGGATTTGCAGGTTAGTACCTAAAAATGAGATATTTCCTATGTAATTTATTTTATAATAGGCCATCCAGTCAACCATGGTGACAAATGCCTATAATCCCAGTACTCTGGGGGCTAAGGCACGAAGATCACTGTGAGTTCACGGCCATCATAGGCTATCTAGTGAGTTTAAGGCCAGTCTGAACTACATACAGAAGCCCTGTCTCAAAAAAATGAAATTACCCATCCAGTACTTATTGCCAGTTACAGAATCTATTGTTTTCATATAAAATTTATCTCACTTACATTTTGTGTTTTCTGGTAGTTTGAAGAAGTCTGACTGAGATAGAGGGATGTGCCCTAGGAAAGAAAATCCATTCAATTTCTAGGCCTCTTTCCATTAGCAGTGGTTGAGTCATTGAGAACCAACAAAAACTCATGCAGTGATGTGAGTCACTTTATTATTTTGAAAACTCATATGAACTCATATAAACTGCATCTTCTTGGTGGTTGTTAATTCATTCACTCCTTATAGACAGATATACCTAGGAGCTTGCACAAAGTGGCCAGTGATGAGAGATAAAGATACCTTGATGTGACCATTTCCACCCTGAGGTTAGACCTGATATGTTTTTCTTCCATCCACTCCAGAAGTATGGAGATAAATGTCACTGTTCATACCCACAAAGAAATGCAGCTTAGCAGATAAAACACACAAATACATACACAAACATGTACATATACACATTGTTTAAATTATGATACCTGATCTGCTTAACAATGAACGGACAAGCATACTGAGGTAGCTCAGATACTGGTGCTGATACTTCAAACAACCTGTCCCCATGTGACACAGGTTATTTTATTTTATTTTATTTGGAGGGGATACCAAGAATCAAACTCAGGACTGTATGCTTGCCAGGCTATATCCCCAGCCTAAAACAGGTTATTTTAATGGGGAACATTTTAACATAACATAGCAAGAATCTGTGATCGAGTGACAGGGTCATTTCTGTGGCTGAATGGTGTGTGTTGTCTATGTGTTACTGTTAAAAATAAAGTTGTATATATGCTGATACCTGTGAACTAAGCAACTGCACTGAAGATAGCAATGTGTAATGGTAGGGTCATGCTTGCAATGCCTGTCATTCTGGTCTTCTAAATACGTACTGCTTCTAATGTCATATCAATTACTGCTATACTGTCTCTCAAGTAAATATTTGACTTTAAAAAAGATAATAAATGAAAAGAGACAAGGAAAAAATGTCATAGGACTATCCTGCTACAATGCTGTATATGGGTAGATTTCTAAATTTCTGTGTGAAAATATGTAATTGTTTATTCCTATTTTTAAATATTTTTATTTTTTATTTAGTTTTTCTTCACATTCTGTAGGGATTTAAAGTTTAACATATCAATAATTGATGGAAAATACTTGTTCCATGTTATATCTAAGATGCTTGATATTCAGACATATAATGAGATTAAGCTCAACTGTCTATGTTATAGGATAATAATATCATTAAGCTTCTCTCTTGGAGGGTTAACAACTTAAGTTTGCAGACCAAAATTAGAGGGAAAAAAAGGGCTACAAGGACAGTCAACATTTTGGCCCTAGCCATTCAAGGTCACTGAGGACTCAGGATGTAAGAGAACCTGTACTGTAACATCCTGTAATTCAGTTGTGTCCCAAATTTTCTGATCACGGAGATTATGGGGCCAAAGAGGAAAGGGATCGATGATGTAAAGTGTGCCTAAGGAGAGTCACATGGAGAGAAAACATTCTCTCAGCCTTTCACAGAGAGCAAATTGGCCAAGCAATGGCTGTGATTCGTCCACATGGCTGACACTGACAAAGGATCTACAAACTGCGGTACAGGGTTTCAGGATAAATCCTGAGGGGATTTCACTGACCTTTTCGAATACAAAAGTTACATTTCTTGTTATATAGATCCTGCTTTATCTTCGTCTTAACTGCCAGCAGAAAAGTATAAAAACGAGGTATAAAAAGTAAAGCCATATTAATATGCTGAGCTGTAAAAGACGCAAGTCAACAACTTCTGACATTGCCAGTCCTATGGATAATCCACTAGTATTATGGACTGCTGAACTATATTGGATTATTTTGCTGAATTCATGCACCTACAATATATAAATGGCAATGGAATACCCATCTCTGACAAAACTAAACAAAAAAGGGGTATATAAATGAAAGAACATTTTGTATCTGTATATAAAAAATAGTCAAAATAGATATACAGCTACTTTCTCTTAATTCAATGAGAAGAAAGATTTGTACTAATAGTATTTGGACGGAATATCATATCTGCATCTTGTACTATGAATAACTACTATGAAGGCAACAATATGCAATGTATTATTGTAACTATCCTACTAACCTGTTTTGAAACTGTCTCATTGCTATTTGTTTCTCAATAAAATTAATAAAAAAATAAATAAAAATAAAGTTGAAAGCTGAAGTTAGATTTTTTTAGAGTCATAAAATAAAGGCTGGATATTTAGCTCAAGGATAGGCTTAGAAAAGCAGTGTGGAAGTTTGTTTCTGATAGCTCACAATTTAGACATATAATGATCAGGTGTTAACAACCATGGAGCCAGCCATTCCATCCCTTTAATGTGACTTTACAGGCCTTCTCTCAGATCTTATATGTTTACTTATTATGTAAATCTCCAAAGACACCTTAAGGCCATGTTCTCCATAGGGGCTAGCCATTGCCTCAGCTACAGTAATGCTTCGTGTCCAGTTACTGCTAGTTCGTGTCCAGTTACTGTCTCCTGAAAGGCAGATCCCTCAAAGCAAGTTTTTCTGTCCCACCTAGGAATAGTTTCCAGCTCCTTGGAATGCACTTTTGTTTAAACAAATGTCTCTTTACTAATAACCTACTGAGTTAGGGTTATTAACCTTTAATTTATTTTCATAAACTAAGAGGCCTACCAGAACTCTATATTCTTTGAAGGCTTCCTGTTGTGAAAGATTACAAAACGCAACCATGTTTGAGTACTCATACATACAAGTTAGAATTTCTTTTGTTCTAAGGATACACTGTGTGATCTTGTCTGGAGGTGATTCTGGTTTTCAAGTGTTGCTAATCTTGCTTTTTAGTTATAAATTAATGTTTAGTTGCTTTTTTTTCTGTTTGGTTGTCTAGCTGTTCCTATGTGTATTGTGGTGGGTGTTTCTTCTGAAAGTGGATTTTGGGCCAGCGAGATAGCTCAGCGGACTAAGCACCTATTTAGGCAAGCACAGGGACTAATAAGATTCAATCCCCAGCACCACATGCCCTGCGCACCATCAAGTGCTGGGACAGTCACAGAGTCTGGGTGTGACGACACACTCCTGTAATCCCAGCGCTCGGGAGGTTGAAAACAGGAGGATCACTACGATCACTGTGTACTGAGACCCTGTACCAAATACATTTTTTAAAAAAGTGAATTTGGCCTGTGTTTTCCAGTAACTCATTTTTTTCTTTTTTTTTTCAAAGTTTTAGTGATAAACAGCAATGAGACAGTTTCAAATCTAATCGGAAGTACAGTT